TTTTATGTATTAGATTAGATTACATCAACCCATTGTACTACTATACTGTTATACTAATATACTTATAAAAGTACTGCTTGTGTAAATTACAATTTTTTTTGGATAATTGTCATTGAACAAATCTGTATTCCTGCTCCATTGACTTTGTCTTTGCCTTTAATTAGCATTAAACAAATCCATACTGCTTCAACGTCTTTGCCGTCTGACAGGAACCTCCAGTCAGGCGCGTCTGACAGGAACCTCCGTTCAGACTTGCCCGTTTGGGAGTCTTCCCGGTGGAATTTTTCGATGACATTTTTTGCGTATGTTCCTCATCAAGTCTAGTTTATCCATACCAAATTTCAGACCACAATTGGATCGGGAAGGCATTCAAATAAATTCATGAAACATATGGCGCATTCTGCGCACATATAAGTATATAACACATAGTATGTTTTAAAAAATTGTTTGAATGCCTTCCCGATCGAATTGAGATCTGAAATTTGGTATGGATAAACTAGACTTGATGGAGAACATGATCAAAAACATCCACCAGGAAGGCACCAAAATGGGCAAGTCCGCACGACTTTGCCTGTCAGGCGCGCCTGACCAAAATTGTACTCTATATATTTATCCCAACTAACATCAAATTCACAAATCTATCCCAGACTTTGACTTTTATTAAAAAAAGACTCGAACTTCCATTTTTCTCACAATCACACTTTCAAAGGATGAATTTAAGAAGAAAATCATAATTATATTTCATACTTTTCACTTCTTTATAGTTTTAAGTTTACAAATTTGTATTACTTATATCTTATTGGTATTGATAAGAATGTGTAATTTTGAAAAAAAAAACATAAAAGAAAAGTATGATTGTTTAAAAAGATTAAGTTTGAGCCTTGTTTTGGATAAGTGTGAAAGAAGAGGATAGATTTGTGAATTTGATAATAGTTTGAGATAAAATAAGCTAATAATGCTACACACACTATACAAGATTACTCCAATTCTTTCACATGAGAGTGTAATCCCTCTAACAAAAAGGATTTTAAAATGTACTCATCTAGAATACAACAAAGAAAGAGTACTCAATGCAACATAACCTGCTAATATTGACATAATAAAAATTCAATTACAAGTGTTGAACACCGATCATTAATCAATTCAAAATATTACAAAATTTATTAATCATAAAACTAAACACATACTATTAACTATTAGAAAAGTAATATATTGGGAGCTCAATACGCGCCACCAAGGGATTGACCAATTATTATTAGGACGTTTTAGAAAATTTGGCATTGTATAAAAAATGTTAGAATATAACACGTACTTTAACAGTTGGAGAAAATTTCACTACAACAAAAATGACCTTTTGTAAGACTTGTTTTTTTGTTACATAAAATACTTGAAAGTAAAATATGCAACACTTTCTTTTTAAATGTTACATAAACTAGTGAAGTATACCAATATGAAACACTTATAGTAAAGTATTGCATATGAGTAAACATTATGTAACATGTATTGGTAAAATGTTGCAATGACAAACAATTATAAATATGAAACATGTCTAAGTAACATTTATTAAAGTGTTGCCTTGAGTTTGGTATTTACGTTTTAAAATCAAAACTAAAATTTTATCATCCAAATTTAAAAAAGGTACTAAAAACCTGAAGAAAGAAAAATGATTTTATCGATTACTTCAGAATTTTAAAAATATGTTCACTATCTATAAGAGATCTGAAGGATAAAGCGTGTCGATATAAGACATAAATGATTGAAACCAGGGACGTAGCTAGTGGATGGCCAACCCTGACCCCGGCCCAACCCAAAATTTAAAAATGTATATATTATATTTTTAGTGTAAAAAAATTTGTGTAATTTTTTCGCAAAAATATTGAAACTAAACTAACAATCTAAGACCTAAAATATCATAAATTTTGATTTATTTAGTTTTATTAACTTCATTGTTAAAATCTTATTGGGATCTCATTTTTATTATGTTTTCTTCACAAAAGTGTATTGATTTAATAAGATTTAAAATTTTCAAAATTCAACATACTTTTTGAATTATAAATTCCAAATAAAAACTATGCATTGCATCACTTTTTTTGACAATCTATTGCATCACTTTTTGTTTGGAAGAAATGTATTGCATCACTTATTCATTGCATCTTTAATACTCTGTACTAGGGGTGCAAATGAACCGAGCCGCTCGTGAGCCGCTCGGTCAAAGCTCGGGTCGAGATCGGTCAAACTCGAGCTTGAGCCGAGCTCGAACCGGCTCGTTAAGCAGTCGAGCCATAAACGAGCCTACTGATTTTAGGCTCGCTAGCTCGCGAGCCTAGTTATATGTGGGTATATTTAATTAAGGGAAAAGTACGGAAAATGTATTTGTGGTTGTGTCCGTTTTCAAATAGGGTCATGTGTTTCATTCGTTATCAAAGTGGTTCATGTGTTTGAATTCCGTTATCACAAGAGGGTCACACCGTTAAAAACGTCTGAAAAAGACCGTTAAAAGTAACTCCGATTTTCAAATGTGTCCGAAAAATTAAAAGAAAAATACCGGAAGGTGCTTTTTTGTTTTAAGCCACCGAAAAAGTGATATTAGCTAAATCATTTTTTAAAAACAATTCAAACAGAACTGAAAATTCCAAAAGCGAAGGTGGTTTGGAGGTCATCTTGACGGGGCGCACCTTTCGGTATTTTTCTTTTAATTTTTCGGGCACTTTTGAAAATCGGAGTTACTTTTAACGTTCTTTTTCAGATGTTTTTAACAGCGTGACCCTCTTCTGATAACGGAATTCAAACACATGAACCACTTTGATAAAGAGTGAAACACATGACCCTATCTGAAAATGGGTCCAACCACTAGTACTTTTTCCGTACTTTTCCCCTTTAATTAATATATGTAATATATTAATATACCATACAAATTAATATATAATACAGATTCATAAATGTATATGAGGACCGGGGGATATTATTAATTATAAAATAATTTAACAAAAATAATCAAAGTTTCATCAACTATTTCTTAATGGGTTGACCACTTTTGATTTATATTAGAAGTACAATTGGGTAGACTTGAAGCTGGAATTATATTTTGTTTATTTCCCGTGTAAGGTTTAGTTGTTGGACATGTAAATTGCAATTTGCAAATGTTAAACACAAATATTTAAAGATTGTTTCATACTTGAGCTCGAGTTCGAACATGAACTTTCGAGCTAATCGAACTTGTAACTTTTGAACGAACCAAAAGTATCTAGCCAAACCGAGCCGAGTCGAGCCAAATCGAGCCGAATCAATATTTGCGAGCCGAGCTCGAGCCCGGATTTTTTAAGCTCGTTCGAGCCGAGCTCGAGCTTGAGCCAATACAATATAATTTGAGCTCGAGCCTACATAAACTCGGGCTCGGCTCGGCTCAACTCATTTGCACCCCTACTTTGTACTTTATTATAAATAGGGAAAACTGTCAAATAGGTCCTCAAACTTTCATAAAAAGGTCAATTAAGTCCTTCTATAGAAGGTTCTGTCCGGCCGTCGCGATTTGGGGCAGTTCCCAGTGGAATTTTTTGATGAAAATTTTTGAGCATCTTATTCACCAAGTCTAATTTACTCAAACCAAATTTCAGTTAAAAATTCAACCGGGAACACATTTAAATCAATTCTTGAAGATAACTGCCCATTTTTGCGTTCTCGAATTAATTTGAATGCGATCCCGATTAAATTTTTAGCTGAAATTTGGTATGAGTAAACTAGACTTGATGAATAAGATGCTCAAAAAATTTCACCGAGAACCGCCCCTAATCGCGACGACCGGACAAAGTCTTCTATAGAAGGACTTACTTGACTTTTTATGAAAGTTCGAGAAATTATTTTACAGTTTTCCCTTACAAATAAAAAAACCTTTCAGCACCTAAGGGCCTGTTTACTAACAGAGATATTTTCCAGTTTTCCAGAAAACTGGAAAACTGGAAAACAGAAAACAGGAAACATGTTTACCAAAGAAATTGCTGGAAAACTGGAGAAAGGAAAAAAGAAAAACGCGTTTACCAAATCGTTTTCCAAAACGAAAAAAATGAGACATGTCTCTCTTTTCCTTAATGATTCGGAGAAGTGACTTTTACTAGTTTTCCAAATTTGGAAAACGCAGATGCTACAGTGCCGCATCAATGAATTTGCATACTTACACCTAGTGGTGGGTCCGGTCCCGCTCCGATGTTGATTCCATTCCGGTACCTCCATCCTCGTACCTTACCCCTTACCCCTACCCTACCCCAAACCCCACCCCGCGTACCCATTTTTCCTTATAATGACCTTACCCCACCCCCTACCACATGCCCCTACCTCGGCCCCACCTAGATCCACCCTACCCTACCGCCACCCCCGACCCACCCTACCCCACCCCACCCCTCGTATATTACCACTTACCCCTACCTTACCCCTTACCATATGCCCCCCTCCCTCGGCCCCACCCCACCGCCATCCTACTCCCACCCTCGTACCGCCATCCTACCCCCACCCTTCTGCCATCCTACCCCCCACCACCATCCTACCCCCACCCTACCCTACCTCGGCCCCACCCGGATCTCGGGCCCACCCTACCGACATCCTATCCCAACTCCCTACCCTACCCACTACCCCCACCCTTACCGCCATCCTACCCCCACCGCCATCCTACATTCCTACACCCCACCTTACCCCTTCCCTACCTCGGCCCACCCTGGTCCCGACCCCACCCTATCCCAACTCTCTACCCTACCCTACCTTACCTCAACCCTACCCACTACCCCACCCTTACCCCTAACCACTACCTTAACCCACCCAACCCCCAACCCCCAACCCCCAACCCCTAGACCTTACCACCCCCACCCCGACCATACCCCTTACCCCACCCCCACCCATAACATCCCTACCCCGACCCCTACGAGTAGGTATGGGTGGGTATGAAGGGTTGTGGGGGAGTATGGGTAGAGTGTAAGATCGTGGTAAAGGTAGGGGTAGGGGTTAAAAGTGTGGAATTGGAGAACTGTGTGAAAATATTTGATAAAGAGGCCCTAATAATCTTTGTATACTATAGTCTGTAATGTTCGATCTTCACTGACCACGCTAGGGCAGGGCAAAAGAAAACGGAAGAGGAAAACCGCCAACGAAGGAGAGAGTAGCGAAGCAATTGAGATACTGTGACCCGACCATCTCTCCACCGCCGCCTGCCGCCTGCCGCCAGTTTTACAAGACCAGCCGCCGACCCTTCATCTAGCTAGCACCTAATTCTAAGCTCGGCGACCAATCACCTCGGTTTCACCATATCCAGGTAATCGTTTATATTAAATATATTTGACATTATAATTCACACTTAAGGTTCGAATTTCGTATATCTTTTGGTCTAGAATTTTTTATCAATTGCTTATTATTTGAGATGAAGCTTCAAGCAATTTGGTTCTGAAATCTTGAGTTTTGTAATGTCTACATTGTGTTTGTGTAATGTCTCGATGTGTTTTAAATTCAGGTCATACTCTTGAATCAGTTGGGTTTAGCCTGGTAATGTGTATAAGGTGTTTGTAGAAATGTCTAAAAGGGAGATATGAGTTATTTGTTAGTATTTCGCTTGTATTACGCATTCACTTAATACACTAGCTTGTGTTATACACTCACTTCTACATAATCTTTATACACAGAGGTATTGAAGTTCTAAGTCAGAACTTCCGTTGCCACCAAAGATTGAAAGAACTCAAATAGGTAAGCTCAATCATCTCTGATTTCCCACTTTGCTCTGCTTAAATGTTCGAATAAAGAATGATTTTGAATCAATAATCATTATGATGTTATAATGTATGTTCTATCATGCAATTAGCCAAGTGTTTGTTTTAAATATTACAGTATTTCAATATATATCGAAATATCGTTAGAACTCAGTGTTTTTCCTTATTACTTTCCAAAGTACAAAATGCCCGAACTAAATTTTACTGGGGTCATTGGTAAACGACATATCAGCATTTTTTTTGGCCTTTTAGATTGCCTTTGTAGTCTAACAGCTATTTTAAGTGTTGATGAACGATTTCTTGATTTGGCCGTTTGTTACAATACCAAGCTTGGGGTCTGAGTGTATTTTGTCTATCAACAGGCATATAATACAAAAGTGGCAGTGGGATGGGGAGGAGAATACTTAATGATGCATTGAGGACAATCGTGAATGCTGAGAAGAGAGGGTTTGCTTCCGCTCAACTTCAACCTGTATCTACTGTCATGGCTAATTTCCTTCAGATTATGAAGTATCGTGGTTGGTTTTCTTTCTGTCTAGTGTTTATGCACACACCACTATTGTTTCAATGCAGGTCAAAGTATCCCTCTATTATATTACTTTGTTCATTTTAGTCCCTCAGACCGATTGTGTTCAATTTAGTCCGTGTACGCTATATAGTTTAATAAATAAAGTATCACTATTAGTGTAAGTATATCCGCTAACTTTTATTATGTCACACATACACCATGATATTGATTTGGCAAGTCCACTCAGATTTAGTACCACCCTTTTGTTCAAAGGATATCTACTACACATGTTTTTTGTCATTTGGAGGCATTAGTATTGACCCCCTATCTTACTTTCGGGACATCTTATGAGTGTGCTTCATGTTCAGGATATATTAAAGATTTTGAGGTACAGAACCCCCATAGAGTTGGTAAGATATCTGTCCAGTTAACGGGTAGGGTCACTGATTGTCGTGCTCTCTCACATAGACAAGATATCAAGGCTCAGAACATTGAGAGCTACGCAAAACGTACCCTTCCAACCCGTCAGGTCCATTCTTTCTTCTGATTTATTGCACATTAGACTGAGTTTTATTATTAATAAGTCGGGTGAATGTCATGATTATCTGGTCGGGCCTTATGCATTGGGTTGGGTATTCAGGTTTAAGGAGTGGTCTCAATGCACTATAGGTACTGAACTATTTGTATGCATAATTGACTAACAACTCAATAGCTATTAATGTTTTTATTTATGTACTTCATGTCTCATAGCTCAAAGCAAAGTTATCATATATCATAATTCATAGAGTACCAGTCCCATTAATGTTGCCATGTTAATGTTGCCTTTTCTTTTACACATTTCACCATATTTGTTTTGAAGGCTAACATGTTCCTGCCATGCAGTGGGGCTATGTTGTGATAACAACACCAAATGGAGTTTTGGATCATGAGGAAGCAATTCGACAAAATGTTGGTGGTCAAGTCCTCGGGTACTTTTACTGATCGAAGTCAAGCAAAATTGAAGATCAGAGAAAATCACTCTCGTTATTGTACATTTATAAAATTGATTGATTGCAAATCACCCTTTCTGGAATGACAATGCAAAAACTGGAGTTGGATGAAAATCATGTCTTCCCGTTCTTTCTTGTTGCGGAAGAGACCAGAAATAAATTGCTTGTTTCGTGGTTAAAGGCTATGGAGTTCAAAACCGTTTTTCTACTGTAGGATTTCTAGTTTTGTTGGATCAATCCAAGGCCCCTATGATCCGAACACTTCCAAAACAAACACAGAAACACAGGCAGCACTAATCGCTCTTTCATCGACCTTGGTTGATTTTTGTAGCGAATGGATTATATTGGTTGACTTTTCTCAAAATATCAATTCTCGTAAGTTTCTGTCAACTTACATCAGTGGATCATGATAATCAATTCAAGACATGTTTACTTGACGAGTTACTAAACAGTGCTTACTAAGACCCGTGTTAATAAGCGGCACATAAAATAAGCAATGTTTTAAGATCGTGTTTATTTTTAAAGGTTTAAAACATCGTTTAACATTAAAATGTTCAAAATAACTCTATACATATATAGACACCAAACATTCATGAACACAAGTATTATGTGTACCCATACCCCCAACCCCTTACCCCCACCCTACCTTACCCCGACCCCACCCCCAAACCCCTAGGCCCTTACAACCCTACCCCTACCCCCCTACCACATCAGCCCCACCCGATCCCACCCTAACCTACCATACTCCTACCCTACCCTACCCTACCTTGACCCCACCACTACCCCGTCCTCGACCCCACCCCTACCCCTAGGCCCTTACCACCCCATCCACTTACCCCCCTAACCCCCTACCACACACCCTATCCTATCCTACCCATACCCTACCCTACCTTACCCGACCCCAGGCCCCTACCCTACATTACCCAAAACCTGACCCCACCCTACTCACGATCCCCACCCTTACCCCTAACCACAACCCAACCCCACTCAATACACCATTTGCCCCTATATTGCCCCTATAACTAAACTTAAAACCCAATGGTCAATAATTTGAATGTAGTATGAGGTGAATTTGGTTATTCAACATTCTATGTAGAGATAACATGAACACTATAATTCCCGTTGAAGTGGTGTGGGATTGGATGTCGATGATTTGAACCTACAAATAAGCTCAAGGCTCAATAGTCAATTACTTGAAGATTGACTATATAAATTGTACTCCCATAGAAGATCAAGAGTTAGTGTGGCATATTAGAGTATTACAAATATGGGGTTAGGTCTCCAACATGACTAATTATAAGAGATTGGACAAATATAAGACCTATTCCTAATTCTTCAAAAAAGAGACTAACGTGTGACTAATTAGTAACTTATTGCATCAAAATACCAAACATACCCCTTCCTAATTAATACTCTATATACAATAACTAATTACTACTACAATAACTAGACTAATGACCCGTGCGTTGCATGGGTGACATCTAGAGCATGATAAGATATTTCTAAATTATTATAATATAACTATTGTTACTATAACTATTATTATGGTATACTCCGTATAATGTAGGTGTGAACAAAAGATTGAAAACTGAGATCAACTGAAACCATATTGAAGAAAGTGAAACTGTTATACAAAAGCCGACTAAAACATGTTAAAATTGATCGAACTTGATACAACCGGTTGAAACCGACTCAAGTTGCGCGCTCGATTTTACCTTTCTTAAAACTGATCGACTAAAAATCGAACTAATAAAACCAAAACCAACTAAATAGAACAATCGAATACCCATAATATATTGTGCAATTTTATACTCATATCGTAACTTGAATCACTTTTAATTTCTCTCCATAAATTTCATTTCAATAAGATTATATGAGAAACCACATTCTTTCCTCTAGGGTTGAGCAAAACAGTTCGGTCTAACCGAACATATAATTTGTAGGACTTTGTTTGGTTTTAGTTCTCTTCTTTAAAACGCTTGGTACTATAATTTATAAACCGAATGATTTGTTTTTTATTTTGTTTCAAACAGTAAATTCATATATAAACCGGCCAATCTTTTACTACTTTTCCAAAGTGTAAGATTAGTATCTACAAAATTACATACCCAAATAATACTAAAAATCACAGTATTATTGCTAGACATAGGGCGTGTTTGGCATTCAGCGTTTAGCGGTTAGCGGGTTATGTTAGCAGGTTGTCAATATCGGATTCAGTCAGCGGGTTTGACTATCGGAATAAATTGGCGGGTTGTCAGAAAATGTTTGGTAATTTACCTGTTTGGCCATAAAATTAATAGAAAACGTCATTTTTCAAAACGCCAACCCAAAACTCTCCTATTAGCAGCGTTTTCATTTCAATGTTTCCGTCCAAAACCGCTAGCACCGAACCGCTATTTACCAAACGACTTTTTCACTTATTGAAAACGCTGAAAGTGGTCAAACCTCCATTTTTCGGCTGAAACGCTGTTTACCAAACATTGCCATGGTATATATCAAGATTTAAAGTCACATGGTTACTTTTTTTTTTGATCGAAGGTGGCTTAATTCATAAGAATATCATTCAGTAAGGGTACACAATAGTAAAAGAACCACATGTAATCATCCGCCCGTGGCCGAGACTGAGAGTTAACCACCTGTAAGAAAGAAGTATAACTCGCTAGACCGAGATTGGGCAACTTTAAGCCAATGACGATTACCGTAGGACTTTCAACACCCAAACCTAATGCAAGAGTCTTACAGCGCATAAAGAAATAAAAGCAAGACAACATAATGAATCCAAAGTAAAAATAAGCAAAGCAAAAGATAACAATAGCACCATCATTGAATTTCAGCACCATCAATAGCAGATAGATCCTCGGTGGGCCTAAGCAAGCTGACCCGCCGCCTCCCCATTTTTTGGTCCATCAAGAGCCATGCCTTCTCCAATTGCGTCTTCTATGGCTTGATTATCCCAAATCCTTCTCCGCTTTGTATCTCCAGAGGCTTCCTCCCTTTCCTCTATTTCAATCTGTTGTGGACCATTAGTCTTTGATTCAGCCGAAAGACCTTCCCCGAGATCAACCTTCCGCTGCTTTCCATATCCACCTGAGCTAGACGCCTCAATAGATAGCCATTTGTTGGATCCTGTCGTGCTAGTCTTCACTTTTCCACCAGCTCTGAGATCTACCCCATAAGATTTTTCAACAACAAAACCTTCTTCATACTTTAAAGGGCAAAATTTGTCAGAATGTCCAATTATACCACATAGAAAACAGAAGTTGGGGAGCTTCTCATACTTGAAATCCACCCAATGCTGGATCCCATCTTTTTTCAAAGTAGTACCCTTTTTCAAAGGCCTACGAACATCTAGGCACACCCTTATACGCAGATAAGAGTTATGATTACCATCATAATGACTCATCTCAAATTTGATGAATGAGCCTAAAAAATTGCCAATTTTCTTGGCAGACCCCAAAATTCTAAACTTAATAGGGGCATTATGGACCTGTATCCAGAAACTAGCTTCAAATAAGTTCAGACTCAGGAATATCATCAGGCTGAACAGCTTTCATCAGAATTAAATCACGATCATAAAGCCAAGGACCACCTTCAAGCACACGATTCATATCCAAAACATGATTAAAGTTTAGCAGATACCTTTTTTCACCAATTTCCGCAATCGTCATACCTCTCCCTAGCCGCCAAAGCGAAGTCATCAGTTCCTGAAACCCCGACAGCTTGATTTTCCGATCGGTGACTACAACTCCAACCACCGGGAAGGTCTGTGCCTCGGCCTCCTCTTCTCTTTCCTCTCCTGTCTCTTCATCGAAGTTGAGTTCATTCTGCTTCTCTTCAATTGCCATTCTTTTGTACGAATTAACGATATCTTCCATCCAAAAAACTACTCGATCGAAGCACCCTGCTATGACGCCTACCTGAGCCGAATCTGCCTCGCCTGCTCCGTCAGTCACCGGCGGTTCCTTCCCCTCCCTGAAAACCGATCTTCGACGGAACGAAATCGGAAGAAAAAACCTAGCGGCCGCACCCTAGGAAGTCACGAAGATTTTAAGTCACATGGTTACTTGTTATATATAAATATATTAACATAGAAAGATACAAAAAAAGAAATATTACATGAGAGGATAACTTGATACCGGATTTGACTTTCAACTCTTTCCTTTTATGAATATTGAGATGATAGATGCATGTGTCATACTATAAATAAATATGATTATTAAATACTACGTATTACATTAATATTCTACAACTCATATATAATGATAATGCTTTTATTAGTTTATTACACAAAATTGGATGGTGTCAAATTAAGATGACATATAAAATTATAATATGATCGCACCGCCATTCATTACTACAAATATGGTAAGTAAAAATTGTTTTCTTCAACCGTGCCACCTAAAAGTTTGGAACCACAAAGCCACAAAGGTAATTACCTTAATTTTAAACTTCATAAACCTGGCTCTGATATCAATTGTTATGGACATAGCCCATACTAGACCCATAGCAGTGCCATAAGTCCATGTGTAGAACTCATTCCTAAAAGATCAGCCGATTAGGAGGAGGGAACACATTGCTTATAAGCCACCGGCCAAGCCCATACTTGACCGGTGTGGGATCGTAACAATACCCCACGCTTCAAAGAGCCAACGTCCTCGTTGGTCACGGCTATGTTGGTCACGGTTGGCACCCCAGGGCCCAAGCCACCACTCCATAGGCCACCACTCTGAGTGTCGGGACTAGGAAGATGGGGATGGCTCTGATACCAATTGTTATGGACATTGCCCATACTAGACCCATAGCAGTGCCATAAGCCCATGTGTAGAACTCACTCCTAAAAGACCAGCCGATTAGGAGGAAGGAACACATTGCTTATAAGCCACTGGCCAAGCCCATACTTGACCGGTGTGAGATCGTAACAATAATGAAGTTTAAAATTAAGGTAATTACCTTTGTGGCTTTGTGGTTCCAAACTTTTAGGTGGCACGGTTAAAGAAAACAATTTTTACTTACCATGTTTGTAGTAATGAATGGCGGTGGGATCATATTATAATTTTATATGTCATCTTAATTTACAAATTTGCCCTTAATATCGGCGGCAATTTTCCCTCCTAAAACTGTAGCAACTCTGCTACTTTATATAATATAAAGATACGTACGTAGTATATACTTCCCCTTGCCATATCCTAGCTCCTCGACATGCTATAGCCATTTTCAAGATAAAAAAGTCGTGTGATTTTTATACTTCCTAAATTACCGTTATCCGGTTGATCATCCAACTACTTATAATTATCCGCCCGACACCGGTTAGAATTTACCCGTCCAGTTATAGTTATCTGATTCGTCCAGTTACAGTTACCCGACCCGTCCAGTTTCAATTACCCGACCCGACCCATCCAGTTACAGTTATTCAACCAGACCCGTCCAGTTACAATTACCCGACCCGACCCGACCCATCCATTTACAG